CCTACAAAATTGATCTATTATACTAGCTTGTAGAACTCCTTGGAGTAATGCATGCTTTATAGTTTAAACTTCTAGCAAGGAGTGTATTGAATTCCACTTTTGGAAAGTGGATGTATTTTCCCTTCTGATGCATCCATTTAGAACCTTTTGAGAAATACTTTTTACCTTGAACATATATTCATGGCAAGGGTCACTATCACATGAAATGCAAACTGCTGACCAGGAATTGAGGTATCTTTATATGGATTACTTCTTGTTTAATAGGTTGCTGCTCTTATTCAATTTCTTTATGTACCATATGCTTTGGGAAAGGTTTGGGCACTTATTTTTGTTCATATTCCCCATTGAAGGATTTATTTGACCTTAGCCCTCTAGTAAACATATTTCACCACATTTCTTAATGCATTCCCCTCATGCATGGCTTTTTTAGCTTTCATGGTCTAGAGGCACATATGCATGTTTTTTATTGAGAAATATTAATTGAATGACATGGTGATTCATGGTCATCTTAATTATAATTTTTTTTCTATTGAATGTTATTGTAACTTGTTCATTTTCATGAGAAAGTAGGGCTTAAATATCCGTGCTTACAAGGTCCCCTTGGTAGAGTGATTTTCCCAAATAAATATTTTTTTAATGACATTTTATGTTCAGGAAAATTTACAAGAAAATAATAAGATGAGAAGGGGAGATGTGACATGGCAGTATGATACAAAAATGAATGACAAAGGAAGACTTCGATATAATTTTTGTAACAAGGAAATGGGTGGTGGTATTTATCGCCTAAAAGAACATCTTGCCTGGGTAAAGGGTAATGTCACCAGTTGTAAAGAAGTGCCACCAGAAGTAAAGAAGTGCCACCAGAAGTAAAACAACTAATGATAAAAATAATTACAAAAAGAAAATGAAAAAAAGTGCAGAGAGAAAGGGATGCAGAGGAGATAGGGAGGGGGTACAAAAATCCAATAGGTGAGGAAGATGACCAAGAGGCAGAATTTGAGACGCAAATGGAACGAGCTAGGATTGCCAGTATTCAAGACCTTAATTATAGACAAATGGAAATTCAAGAGTTATATGGGAGAAGGGATGGTGCATCTCGTAGCCGTCAACCTCAAGAGCATATAGTACTGGGTAGGGGAGGATGTGGGCCCTCATTGCTTAGATCCACATCTAGTAGATTGAGACGTAGTTTCTCTAGTCGCCCATCCTCTTGTAGTCGGTCATCTACTACTAAATGACATGAACTCATAGATGCGCCTTCAATGACCCGCGAACCCTTTGGACCTGATCCCCACAAGTCACAATATCATCAAAAAAAATTAAAATTTTCATCAGCAGGTGTATTAATAGAAAAAGCGAGAAAGATGATTAGCATGTTCTGATATGCTAATGCACTACCATTTAATTTTGCAAGCTCAGACTTCTACCCACAAATGGTAGCTTCTATAGCTGAGGCAGGGCTAGGTGTTAGAGGTCCAACTGCGAAGGAGCTTGCAGGCCCATGTTTAGAAGTTATTGTTTATGATGTTGATAAGCATGTTGCACAGTTTAAGGTCTGCTGGGCAGGTACAAGAGTGACCGTCATGACTGACGTTGGAAGGACAAGTCTCGTAGATATCTTGTCAATTTTTTAATAGGTTGCCCTAGGGGCATTGTTTACCACTCTAGCATTGATATATCAAGAACGAGACATACTGGGAGACTGATATGCACACACCTAGATAAAATTTTAGATGAGATTGGGCCTGAAAATGTGGTCTAGGTAGTGACTGATAATGCTGCGAATGACAGAACAACAGGCTTGTTGTTAATGCAAAGAAGACCTAATCTTTATTGGACTTCTTGTGCTGCCCATTGTATTAATTTGATGCTCAAGGATATAGGGAAGTTGAAGAGGGTTAAATATTGTATTTTGAAGAGCAAGTTGATTACAAGGTTTATATAAAATCACACGTATCTTCATGCTTTGATGAAGGAGCATTGCATGCGAGAGATTGTCAGGGAGTCTACTACCAGATTCGCTATAGCATTCTTTACGATACAATCGATATTGGTAAACAAAGCAGGATTGAGGTCCATGATATGCTCGAATGAATGGCAAACTGATAGGGCAGCAATGAGTCAACTTGGAAGGCAGGTTGAAACTACCCTTCTCAAGCAAAGGTTTTGGGCTCGATGTAACCATGTTGTTTCTGTAACTAAACCTTTAGTACAAGTGTTGAGGTTAAATGACTTTGATGATAAACCCGCAATGGGGTTTCTGTTCGATGCAATGAGACGTGCAAGGGAAGCTATATTTGAGAATAACATATGGAATGAAGAGATATTGGAGATTGTTGATCGTAGGTGGAGAGACCAACTGCACTAGGATATCCATGCAGCAAGTAATTTATGATTCACTGTCGCAATTCATGACTCTTTCTCAACTCCAAGAAAAGTTACCGTAATTAATAATATAACAAACCATGTGCCGGGTTCTTTCTTAATCCACAAAATTTGTACTCCAATGCCACTTTAGATGATGCAGATATCATGGAGGGGGTAAGAAACTGCATCTACAGGCTTGAACCTGATCTTGAAACTTAGATGGAGTGTATGCAACAGGTAAACCATAATCAAAACGTGCATGTAATAAAATTTCAATTTACAATAATGAATTGCATTTTTATGTAATACTAATTTCTTGTAAATGCATCTTGTTATTTCTAGCTTATCATGTACATGGAAAAAAATGGAGAATTTGTATACAACAATGCTAAAAATGCAGCTGCAAAATTGTACCCAAGTTAGTTTTAAGTTAAAACTTGCAATAGTTTAGTACACTACTATTTTTTGTTTTTTTAAAATCAATTTATTTTTTATTGTTAAGTATTTATATCTTTGTCTGTGTCAGCATAATGATGGACGATACACAGAATTTGAAAAATGCAATTGCAAAAGATTACCGTTAGAATTTTGAGTCAAACCTATGCTGCCTCGGGGCCTCAGGCTGTGAGAGAAACTGGAGTACATTTCAGTGGATACACACCCCGAGGCGGAATAGGTTAAAGGCATAGACACTGCAAAACTTGGTGTACATTCATTATAATTTGAAATTGAGTGAGAAACATATAAGGAGGACCCCCACAAACTACACGCCGATCAACCTTGATTACATCTTCCGAAGGGACCTCACCGATGAGTAGATGTCACTAAGGACCCCACTACTAGACCAAGATTTTCTTAGTGGGGCAGTTGCCGATATGGATGATAATGTGAATGTTGCAACATCCAATGAAAGAGACTTGACAATGGACATGGATGACAATTATACACAGGATGAAGATGAGGCAC